TTTTTGCCTAGCGTACGACCCCCCTAAACTTCAGTTGGACGTACAGCGCACTGCCGTTCAACCGGCGCTACGAACTTTCACGATCGGCTTGATAGCCGAGTTGTGCAACTTATTAAAATAGCTTAAGTAAGAGTAAATGACTGTAAAAAAGAAGTAATAGGGTTTTTTTTGGCTTTCCTGCAAAACCACGTTTTTTTTTTTGTTTTTGTTTTTTTCGGTACTCTTTGATGCGTACTTTAGCTGTTTAATGTCTTATATTGCGCCGTCATCAAGCCTCTCGTAAAAGTTGGGGCCGTCAGTTTGACGTCAGTGGGCTGCACGGAGACCTGAAGTATTGTAGTGTCGTATATGGGACAAGGGGTGTAAGGACTACAACATTTTTTTTTTAGTGAGAAGCACGCCAACGCTCCTGGCGCGCACTGAAAATTGTGCTTCAAAGGCGCAGCGGGAGCTTGCGGTTGTAATGCTACACCACACGGTAGCCTGCGGTAACAAACTTTCTTTCAATAACCATAGAGCAGTTTGATTAAGTGTTGCAATACACTAAAACCAAGACAGTCGACAGCAGCGAGTTGTGAGGCTGTGACGCGAAGACACCAATACTGTGAACGCTGCTCTTCCGAAGCTTGACGGTCACCGTTCGCGGCTCTCTTTCTAGAGCACTAATGGCCAGGCAAAGCGCAAACATACCTTCATCACCCTCGAAAATATTCTGCCACCAGCAGTAACGTGGCCGGTGCCTAAAACGCGGTCGCTCACCACAAAGTTTCGCAATTTGAGGTTTCTGCAACTTTTAAATAATAGCATGCTCGTTTTCCTAACGTGCATCAGCATCTCCGTCACCTGTAATATGATCCCTCCCTAACCGCTTCGTAATTGTAGACAAATAAATTATTTTTAGCGCGCTGAACAGCGTCAGCGAGCAGGCGCACGGGATATCCTGGAGAATCTATCCCCGTCTCTTCCGCCATCTTGGAACTACCGCCCCGCCACCTATAGGGCGTTGGAGTTGCGAATACGGATAGAGGAGGCTATGATCAGGGTTAAGGAGATGCTGGGGCATTGTTGCTATGCAGACTAAGGTTCCTTCCGATTCTCCGAACTATTTTTCAATGCGTCCTCCTCTCTCTTCTGAGAAGTGTTGCGTAGTCGGGGACTCGAACCAGGTGGCCTGCCAGGATTGGAGTCAGAGCATCCTCTGCCGTAGGTCCTTAGGCAGGAATTTCTTGAGTCATTGTTTTCTGGCACCCAATGCCCGCTTATAAATGTATCTCTTGCCTTAGCGTACACAGTACACCCAGCCGGCAAAGCTGGGTCACACACAGTTCGTTGCAGCACGCGCCTGGCGGTGGTTGACTTGAAATAGTAGGGTGAATCACGCAGTGAAGTTCAACACAACATATTCGAATGCGTCTGCGGCTGCGCCCGTAATATTGCACAGCGCACGGGTACGTCATCAGCCGACGTGAACGTGACCCGCTGCTCTGGGGATCCGAAACCCAGGAAGGAGGCCAGACGTGGCCTCGCTGTGCCAACCCAGACTTCGTACAGCTGCGACTCGTCTCGAGCGCGCTGTTTCTCGGAGAGCTTGCACCTGTGCCGGCAGTATCTGGTCGCAATCCACGAGGTCTCTGTTTGGGTGATGCTAGGCGAAACTTAAGGACTGCAATCCATGCGTCGGTGGCGGAGGGTCTGCAGGAAGGACCTTCACAACAGGGATGCCATCATATCGTTTTTTCAACCGTAACAGAAGATGAGACACATGTTCCAGGATGCTTCAGGTGGTCCACTATTCTAGAAAATTCCAAATGACACTGTCTGCACGATCTTCAACGAGGTAACCTACAACGCAAATATCTATTGTACTTTCATACACCAGCGTGGTAAAGTGTCATGTTCAAGGCCCACACCTAGAGATAAAGAATACCAGTTTATTTCACCGTGACGTCATTTGATCAATGTTGGCAGGGACATCCTTATTGGACAGGGGCGTGGTGACGTTTTGATGGGATTTAGGGTGACATAGAATTTATTTAGAGGTCGAAGTCTTTTCGCATTTTGAGCCCACTGAATACTTCTCGTCGTCCGAAACCATTACCTTCAAGGCAAAGTGCCAAACCTACGGAAAAAATAATTTCGGTATCAAAAACTTCCACTTCAAACTTTCTCCAGTTGGCGTCTCCAAGAAATGTGAAAAATGCATTGCAGTATCAGTATTTCTGTATTTGTATTTCTTCCCTCGCCCCTTAAACTGTATTCCTGTATTTGTATTTCTAAATACGTTTTGCCTCTATTTAAAATGTATTTCCGATACGTATCGCGATACATTTTTACAGATGTATTTTAGTATCAGTATTTTGGCTACTATTTTAATGTATCCCAGTATTTGTATTTCCAAATACATTTTGAGTATTTCTGCCCAACCCTTTGATATGAAAGTTTTTTTCTAAATGTGACACCGAGAGATGCTTCATAAATGGTCGCTCGTTTAATTTCACTAAGTCTATTTAATTTCACTAGGTCACTGGGTCTATAAAAACTATTACAATTATTTCTTTTATTAATACATTTTTATAGCACGCAAAACTAATATAATGTTTAACTAATATCTTTAATCAAATGCGTACTTTATGAAATTATAACGTTCTACAGACTGTGCACATCAATTAGCGTAAAAGTTCGAAACATATATAACTCGAGGGGAAAAAAGAAATGTTCAAATTTTGAAAGCGTAGTTCATTACAACCCGACTAATCAGCTAGCAACCAAAGACAAAAGGAATCCGTGGGCATCGAGTCATAGGAAATAAAGCTTCTTTCATTTGAAATCAATTCTATGATTGTGCCAAAGTAAAACACACAAGGGAAGTTCTAAACCGTCAAAAAACAACAACAGAGAAACGACATAATTGGCCAGATTTAGTGCACCGGAAACTGAATTCCCTCAGAAATATTTAAAATCCTGGTTAAGGTCGCATGTCGCAAAATAAACTTTAAAAAAAAAAAAAAAGAACTCGGTGTCTTTATAATATTTATTTTATAGTCTGCGGCAACGTAAACATTGCGCTAATTATTATTTTTTTTTTCGGGGCAAGTTTATTTTGTTGCATACCTGTCCTATCCAACACTTACACAAATGTGTGTGTGTGTTTTGTTCCGCGCTTTTTTTTTTACGTGCAACAAAAAAAAAAAGCAAAAAAAAAAAAAAAAAAGAAACGATACGATTAGACGTTTTCATTCGTGTCGCGTCGAACCAAACATATATGATGCTCCCCAGACGCCGGGGCGTGTGTCTCGCTTTGGCGTCGGGCCCCACGACGGACCAGGCCCCGACAAGTGCCCGAGAAGTCCCCGAAGTTGGAGTTGTCCCAGCCCATGTCGTACGCTGCAGGCTGCAGTGTGGAAGAGGCTGGGGTGCGGAGTCCGAGCGGCTCGTACGCGCGGTCGGCGCGAGTGCGCCGATGCGTGGCGGTCAAGGAACGGCAACTCCCATTGAAATCATCTTGAGTGTCCGAGAGGCAGAGAGCCGCCAGCGATTGTCTGACATCCTGTGCTGCCTTTGTGCGCTGCCGCCCCTCTTTCCCAAGCGGCAATTTTTCAAACCTTTTTTTTTTTTTTTTTTTGGCGCGTCACGTTGCTTATTATTTACCTCCACGGTCGTCGCACCACGGACGCCCGCTCGATCGCGGAAAAGAAAAACTCTTTGGACTTCCTAAACATGGCTGCTGGACGCGCGCGTCAACCTAGTTCTCCTTTCTTTTTTTCGTTTGGGAGGCACTTATTGTTTTCGATGTAATTGCACAAACACGCCCTTTTTTCCTCGTGGTCAGTGCGCCCTGACGATGGCGCTTTACGACGCGCCTTTCCCGCTCAGTGACAAGACGCGAAGGAAACGTGTATTCGCGGCACGTTTGGAAAAAGATATACCACACGAGCCTCGCGTAGCTTCGCTAAATCCCCACACGGACACACAGTCGTCAAAGCACAGCACCAAGTGCGAATTCTTAAGTCCGTGGGCGTGAATAATAATGATAATAATAATAATAATAATAAAACAGAATAGAAAGAAATGATGGGCTAAACGTTTCCGAACGTCGGTGACAGTGACTCCAACCCTGTGTCATTAGGCCGAGAGGAATGCCTAGATGGGTGTGATATCAACAAACCGCCCACATTCCACACGGTCCCCTGGAGGAGTCCCACGCGCGGACGCCACGAGTTTCGCGTCGCTTTACTCGCCAGGCACCAGAATGACGACAACAACAACAACAACAAATATACAAACAGCGCGCGGGAGAGAAACATCCCAAAATGAGCGTCCCGTTGGCAGTGCCACGAAGGGACACCGGACGGAACGCACGCACAAGAGCAGAAGGAATTCCATTTTGACTCCCTCCCCGGTGGTGGAGGCGCGCACGCACTCCCAGCGAGAGGGTCTGGGTGCTCCCTCTCTGGCGCGCGCGCGCTGGCCTCGCTGCCCAATTCGAAGAGTCCAACCGACGACGCCGCCGCCGGACCACGGCAACCCCCCAGCCTGGGACGGGACGCCCGGTCGAGGGGACCGTCTCCTAGGTGCCCGGTCGCGCAACGGCGCGTGACGCCGGCAACAAACACTGAGACAAAGCCCAAAAGGCGAGGAAGAAGAGAAACAGCAACTCGGCGAGGGACGAGTTGGAGGGGGGGTACGCGCCAAATGTTTTCCCTCCGTCTGCTCGCTCGTAACCGGCCCCTCGCCTCGGCTGCCACCGCTGCGATCAGGGGAAGCGGGCTCTGTGTTGCCGAGCGAGGGGGCCCATTAGTTTCCCAGGCCGCGCTCTTTGTTTTTATCCCGGCAGAGAATTCCGCTTCCCGCGCTTTGGGCCAGGTGGCGGAGGCTCCGCGACTCCGCGCCCGGCTTGCCGGAAAAGAAACGCTACGGCGCGGACTCGCGAATCGTCCGCGTTTCGCGCGCGGGCTGTTGGATGTTTTTGTGGTTGTTGTTTTAAGTATTATTTTACCATGTTTAGATTAGAGAAGGATTTAAACAATGAGGATATGAAGAAAGCCGTGCTATGTTTTAGGCTTCTTGTAGCTTTCCTTTATTACGACAAAACCAATGTTTTCTTTTCGACATATGTGATGCGTCTTGGAAAATGACTGACGCCTTCAAAGACACTCACTGAAGATAATAATTGGTATTCATTTCTACCACGTTGGTGCAATCCCACAATTTCTGTTTCGTCTTTTTCTTTTTTTTTTTGTGGACACGAGTTTTTTTATTGCAACGCTATGAAGATTTTTTTAATACACGTATATTTAACTCATCCCCCCCCCTCTTTTTTTTTGCGTAAAATAAATCTTGGTGTATAACATGACAGGCTCAAGTTAAGCGTAAACAAGCTGTAGTCATTCCAAAAGCGCTCAGGTACGCAAGATCAAATGTGAATGAACGTCCCGTTTCGGGGATGGATAGATCTCTATGCCACGTCGCCCTGCCCCCCGCGCGAATAAAGGAAATTGCTTCAAAGGGGAACTCCAGCTCCATCTATCACGAGTTACCCCCAGGTAATAAGAAAAAAAAATAATTAGGCGAAGCAGTAATCAAAGAAGCGATTCGCGAGCATCGCTATATCTCGTTGAAGTCCGTCCTCCACTTCCAGGGGTTTCAAATTACTCGAAACTCCCGGGGAACAAGAGCCCCTAAAACGACCACTCTCCTTCGTTTCCTTCACAATGAGCAGCCCAATTTGCGTCGGCGGTACGCGCCGTCAAGTCCCCGTAGTCGAGTCAGCGGAGTTGGCGGAGTGACGAAGACGCGCGGATCATCCCCGTAGCGCTGTGGGCCGCCCGTGACGCAACCAGGCGCTCTCTCTCTCCCCCAGCGCCGCTGCGCCACGCCGCGGGCAGGTTGGTCGGCCGCACCGAAAGTCGTTCGCTTTGAAACCAGTCGCGCCGACGCAGCAGCAGGACTTCGACGAGCATGGGATCGACCCAACGGTTTCCCAGCTGGCGACGCTAGTTGTGTTCAGCACGCCCAGAGGAACGCCCTCAGCCGCAGCGGGTGCCGTCCGCCTTCGGGACCTCTGGCTTCTCGAGTCCGTCCCGGCGATGGTGTGAGACGGCGACCAGTGTCCCGCGCGCAGCCAGCATGAGGCATCGTCCGGTCCGAGCGGCCGCAGCCCTGCTGTCCTGGCTCGCAGTGTGGAGCGTGGTCCGCGCACGGCCCGACGAGATCAGGGACAGGCAGGTGTTCAACGTGTCCGGCAGTCCCTACGAGATCAAGCGGGACATCGTCGTCGTGGACGGCGGTGAGCTGGTCATCGAGCCCGGCGTCGAGCTGCGCTTTGCCCCCGGGGTCGGCATATTCGTCAACGGTGCGCTCAAAGCCCAGGTAGGCAGGCGCGCTTCGCCTTCTCGTAATAACGTGAAGCGTTGCTCTTGGCGACGCTGATAGCGTGGTGGGAGAGCCCTCGCTATCGGCACCCGTCGTTCGTGGCATGCCAACGGCTCTCGAGGGACGTCCGTGGCGCGCCCGTTTCCCCGACTCGGACCTTTTCCTCGTTGGCGTCCACCTCACGGGAATCAACGCTCCCCGAGCGTTTATTCCCGAAGGTTGCAGCGTGCCGGACGTTTTGTCCCAGTGTGCAGCGGGCCGGAGAGCACGCGAGCGTCGACGTGCATATTCGCTGGTTGGGATGAACCGATAGTGATTGATTGGCGAGGTCGGATTGTCTAACGCGAGTGGCCGCCGAATATTCGATACCCCATGGCCCCTGCTTGCGACAAAAAGTGGCAAGGACGGCGGCGTTGCAAAGCGTTTGGCCAATTAACCGCGCAACAGGATCGAACCTCGGTGAAGTTGAACTGTTGCAACGATTCTATAGCTTTGTTGAGTTTCAGAAAGCGGCCTGCGAGTGAGAGTGCACTTGAACGAATGAAAATAACATGTTTCCATTCACCAGCGAAACGGAGTGTCGGATATTCGTCAGTGGTATATAAAGCATTAGAAAGCTACCCTTGAACATAAACGGCCGCGACCGCAGCGACAATAGTACAAGTGAAACCACAAAACGCAAGTCCACGAGAGAAAGATCCAGTGGCGACGCCTAGGAACATAGACTGCATTCGGCGTGGTATTGATAACACCCGCCAACTGAAACCCTTTTGTTGGGACTCGACAGACACAATACAAGGGGATAGTTGAAGCCCCCCGCCTCCTCTTGTGTTTCGTTTGTCTCCTTCTTATTACACTCTGCAATATTACGGTGTCGGTACCGTCGGTACTTGCGCAGCTCACAGTAATGACTCGTCCTATAGGCACAACGGCAGGGATTTCGGCTGACAACACGAACTACAGACATTAGTGCCGACTGCGCAGAAAATGCGAGTGGCTTCATTAAAGCAGGAACGACCACCACCATCCATCTATTTTAGCGCTCCCAAGTTTCAGATTCAAGCTCACATTGCTTACCACATACAAAACGTGGTACAGAAGAGGACCGGTTTCCTTTTCTGGCAGGTATAATCGAGTCCATCCCCTAGAAAGACCGAAAGAACTCGACCTCCTGGCGCGAAATAACTTTGCCTTCGAATATCTTTTTATCAGTTCTACTTTTTGCATCTCATTTCCAACGCGCCGATCCGTGATCAAATTGCCCCCAGGTGCCGTCTCAGAAGACGCACACGCAGCCACCCGGCACCCACGTAGAACCTCGAACCGGCGATTGGGACGAAGTGCATCGACCCACTGCCATAAGCCACCATCGCGAACGAAGGGCGCCCTTGTCCGGGGCCACAGCCATTTTCGGCGCTCGCCCGCGAGAGAAAACCGGACGCCTGATTATCGGCTCGGAAAACAATGCGGGGGACGGCAAACAATGGACCGCATGATGCACTGCCGCGCGAATTTATATCGAGATGGAGACTGGAGATCGGACGGGGCGTATCCCGAGGAGTCCGTCCGGGCATGCTGCTCGCGAGCAGACGCGTCTCAAACTGGTTTTGGGAGCAAGTGGCTTCCTCCGAGGCCCTGTTGCCCTCCATAGCCCTCTGCCTGCACCGCCGCACCACCGGCAGCGCAGCCACGCTGGGCTTGCGGCCCAGAAGACCTGCGTGACCACGCGTCTTGGGGGCCGGCGCTGGACGACCGTCTGTCCATGGACCCGAGCGTCACTGGCAACGCTTGCGACGCCCGAATGGTAGAGCGCATCTTCGGATGTCTGATTAGACATCGGCCGGCGACACTTACACGCTCGAGGAAGGCGGGAAAGTTTAGACTAGGTCGCGATGTTTGACTGAAAGGCGGACAGAGATGGCGGTCAGATGGTAGCATTGTGCGCCCGATCTGCCGCCTGACCTGGCTTATCGGCCGGACGACCGAAGTCCTCTCGGGCTTCGAGTTGTGCTGTCACTTGACGGTTGCTGTTTCCTTCTGGTCTTCGTGTGGAACGGTTGTGGGGTAAAGGACCTCGTCGTCGTGACTGCCAAGCGGTCTTCGTTTATCGTAACGAAGAATTTTGTGTAAGTTATTTATCAGTTACCTGCAGTATGCGGCAAGAACAGGAAGCGGAATGAACCTCATTCAGGCGCTGGTATACTGACCCGTTGTTCTGCAACTAATAATTGTTCAACGTGTGCTGCCTTTTTTATATCGATATTAATATGTACCAAGTTCTATGGTAAATCTACGGCCGCTTGATCCCCTCCTCTCCCGGGAGAGGGGATCGAGGGGCCGTGGTAAAGCACAGAGATACAAAGTGAGGGGTGCAGTGCAAGATGAGCCCTTTGTACGCCTTGAACTCCGAGAGGAAATGACTGTCGAAGTTCCTTCATGTGCAGAAGATACGCGTACTCTTCGCCGGTAAGAAGTTAAGAGTAGATGTAGCAGTGGAAAACCAGTTCAAAATACAATTTTCATAGTACTGTGACCTGCTGAACCTTACTGGCTGATCTAAAGGCAGGCATTTTTTCGGCTTTTCCAGCTTCAGCACGAGTGGCCTCTCATCCAAATTGTGCTTAGCCAGTGCGTAATTTACTGTCATTCCACTCGATCGTGAGAGATCCACAATGGTGAGCACGAAACCGAACTCAGTTTGTACGAACAAGAAGAATGAGCTCGCTTGCTGCAGTCCGTGTTTCCCGTGGCACGCTATCCTCTCTTCGGGGGGAAAGTGACTCGCCTCGGCTCCCGAAACTCTCCGCAGATTGCCGGCCGGTTAAAGGGCGCGGGGCGGCAAGCACGTTGGAGCAGCGAGCTCGTCGTTTGGCGCCGTGCACCCGACGGCTCTCCTCCACGGGGCCCGTGCATGAAGCGCGTCTTTCGGTCGGCCAAGGCCCCCCCTCCGCGTGAAAGCGGGACGTCGGACGGGCCCGCAAGGCCGCTTTCGCCTTTCGCGGCGGCGCCCGTTGGCATCGCGAGAACCGGTCGCGGCTCGCCCCAAGCGCGGCTCCGGGCCGCTCTGGACACCGCCCTCTTGGCACGGGCCCGACACGGTCCTCGCCCCAAGCGGCGACGGGAGCCAAGAGTCATCATCTTGCCCTTCGGCCCAGCTAGCCTCCGGACGCCAATCACGAGCGCTGCCCCTTCCGGGAACAATAATCGCGGAGGCCTTGCCTGTCTGCTTATTCGAGACCGATTCTGCAAAAACGAGTGTTTGGCGCAGAAAACACGTCACCGTTGGAAAACGGGGCAAAGGAGCCAGTGGCGTAGGTAGAAAGAATTTCGAAGTCCCCCCCCCCCCCCCCCTCTAAACACTTCACGCCCAGGTTCATAGCTATGCGGAGCGCAAGTTCGTCTGCTTCTTGCCCAGGGTTTGCGATGATGTCTGAACACCAGTCAGACATCAGCCAGTCAGGGCTCGGTGTCATTCTGACGTCACCGCAACCCCTGCGCAGAAAGCAGACTTGTTCTTCACATAGGGTTCCGTGTTTTTATATCGATAGGCTCCGAAAGTTAACCCCCGAGTCGCTATTTCTCGAAATCGGGGAAAACCGAGAAAACCCGAATTGAAGCAGTCCTCTGTGTAGAACCTTTCACTCTCCCCCAAGGCTCGTGTGTCGAAGCGCACGGCGCCAGACCGGTGAGAACTGAGGATCGCTGTAACGCGAACCTATTCGTATCAACGGATGTAGTACACAGAACACGATCGTCTCGGTGGGGAATGTCGGCCTTTGCACTGGAGGCGTGAGAGTCAATCGGTTTTCAGACCGGCTGGATATGTGGGCTCGCTTGGGCTCCGGAGTCGTGGGGGAGAATGGAAGGTTCACCCATAGCCTAGGCTAATGGTTCTCAACCATCGATGATTCGCGGACCCCTTGTGGATCGGCAGAGATGATGGAGGACCCCGTTCGTGGTGAGGAGAAGTGAAATTATAGGTTAATTATGATTGTGATTTAATAAATCACTATCATAATTAACTAGTGTGGAGTAAAATTCACTTATTGACATATACACGAGAAAACACCCCCGAAAATTGGAACGTTTCTTCTGAATCTGAGAAAAGAAAACTTTTATTTCCGGGCTCGCCTGATAAGGGTGGGATTCGCGGACCCCTAAAATGCCTTCGCGGACCCCGACTTGAGACCCACTGGCCTAGGCTATATGGTTCACCACACCTTCTAATGATAAAAAAAAAAAAAGGCTTGATGGGGGAAAAAAAATGAACTACAAATTTATTTTGTATTTACCTCGAACTCAGCCGCGCTGAACTGATCGCGAGGCAATGTAGTGCTTTCTCTTTTTAGCATAATGCGCGATAAACACTTATTTCTTGTTTGACGCCGAAAATTGACTCCCAAAAACGCCGAATCAGTGGAAAAAATATTGCAAACAAAACCCTTTTCATAGCTCTCCCCCTCAACCCACTCACCCTCTCTCCCCCCCAAAAAAAATTCCTCGCTGTGCCACTGGGACGAGCAGTTTCCAAGAAGAGAAAGTATGCAGGCAAGCTGGTTAGGAAGCATCAATCGAAGCCCGGAGTCCCGCGAGTTCCGCAAGTCTCGCGAAAGGCACGATGACTGTTCCATCGACCGTTCGAGGGAAGATTGAATTCAGTGCCGAGTTCTGAAACTGGCCAACGGGATATATCATAGTAGCTCATCGGGGTGTGTATACAGTATTCGTGGAATGCTTGGGTCACTCGCGGTCAGCAAATAGCGTTGCTAGAAATGTGGATGCGAGTTAGCATCGAGAGGTCGGTCCAGTGGTTATTGGAGAAGCAGGGCTTCGCATTCGATGCTTATTGGAGTAAGCTCGACAGATTGCTGCGAACCCTTACGACTGTGGTAAAGCGATTAGATGACCTCACCACAACCTTGGGGCATACTCGATTTTGCCACATCCTTTCTATGCCATGATTTAAATACCGCTCTCTTCCAAGAAAAGGAAATGAA